TTTTAAGGAAGAGAATGTCCTGCATGTGGAATTGACACTCTTGGTCAATGCTGCCCTCCTGAGATGGGCCAGACACATTACTTTGAGTAGAAATTGCTGTATCCTTCAAAGCTGTACTTGATCGTTGCATTGATTTTGACCTCATGAAGGCCTATCTTTCAGTAGCTGCTGCCTATAATTCTGCCTTACTCTATGCCTCTATATCTAAGGCAATGGAAGTCTGAACAGAATATATTGATTCAAATGTGAAGACATAATAGTTAAAAGACAGATCATGTCTCAATTACAAGAGCTGAAGCTGTCCTCTTCAGTGACCGGCAAACGTTCTTTATGGTTGAGCCCATGGCTGGAAGATCTTGCCACTGAATAGGCTTGGTGCAAGATCCATTACTTCACTTTTTTGGCAACAATCTGGCCAGTACCATAGCCAAGGTTACAGGCAGAAAGTCTGGCTTTCTGCCTAAGGATAGGTGCCTGATGAGACAAAAAAGATCTCCGTTCGAAGTCATAATCTGGATTGTGCCAGAGATTGTGCTCTTGCAGATTCAGCCAGGAGTTCAGGAACAACAGGAAAAATGGCCAGTCTTCATTCTAGAAGTGGGGTTCCACTCAAGAAAGCCAGGATGATTCCAATTCGATTTAAGACTGCCCCATTCTCAGATATGTGGCATCTCAGAACAGTCTCTTCAGACAATGCCTAGAAGTGCAGTTGTTTAACACACCTCAGATTTGTATTAGCAAAACTACCTTGCTCCAGCAACAGGTTCTTGTAGCTTATGTCAAAACTCTAATATCCAAAGGGGTGGTAATTTCAGTCCAAGCAGGCAAGGCATTTTAAGGCATGTAGTCACTGTTGTTCATGGCAGGAGGTTGGAGGCCCATTATTGATTTCTCTCATCTGAACAAATTCTTCTCACATGTTTACGAAAGTCTTATTGGCATCATTACCTCTCAAGAATTGGCATATGCTTTTATCATTATTTAGACAATCTCCTTCTTTCTCAGGACAAAGATCTTTCCTAGAACACAGCTATTGGGTTCTCAGGACCTTAAAGGAATGTATCTGGATAGTGAATGAAGAGATAAAGTAATCTGATTCCTACAAACCTATTGTGTTGAATATCAAATTCAACCTCAACGTATTTCTATGAATTCCCCCAAAAAAGAAAAAAGCTTAAAAATCTTAGAAACTCCACAAAACAACCTAAACAATTAGACATATTAGATATGAAAAGGTTTTTACTTTTATTTACATGTTCGTTTTGTTTTGAAACTTCTGAATATATGACACACTGATGACGGCCTTGCATGGAAACCTCAGACAAAACAAGCGAGGTCTAATTAGACGATGGTCGACAGGTGAGGATCCAGCTTAAATAATTCCTACACCTGGAAGTTTACACGTCCTGACGAAGCCCCTGGGGGAGGGGCGAAACGCGTAGACGCTGTATAGGGAAATCGGTGAATGACTCAACCAAACCAGACACCATGCTCTCACAACCCACAACCTCAATACTTCTTTAAAACCTACAACGGTCCCATTACTTGGATATTCCAAATATATTTCTAACCAACAACAAAGTACCTGCCCTCATTGGACTACATAGGAAATACTGGATACTCTCTATTTTCTATCTATATCCTCGGCCGAGGCATCCTTTGGACTTTTTCAAACAGGATTAATAAACCTACGAAAAACCAAGGAAAAATCCCCACCAAAGGATATGCGAGTAGGAACCACTGATATACTACCTTGTTTCTATTATATATATTTCTTTCTCACTTTTTTTTACGCTTTCTCTTAAAACGGGAGGAAGATCTCTCCTACCTGACTTTAGTAATAGTCACACATCCAATAGCCAAAATATATATATACAAGATATATCTTTACTACTGAGTTCCGTGAATAAATTCACAAACCGATGGCCATATGATCCAAGGGCAGTGATTGAAACTATCCCTGCATAAAAGAATTTCAATACGACCAGGGACAGAAGGAAAGGATTTCCTTGATGGATACGAATACTGAATTTCTTTTACATCCACTTCAATAAAATCTCCCCTCTTAGTGGGGCTACAATCTATCAAATTAAATGAATACAGGTCAATATGAATCAAAAGGAATAACTCGTCATAGAGTACACCAACTAAAGATAAATATAACTAACCTGTTTTTTCATCATCTTTCACTTAGAGAAGGTGCTGCTGACATTCAAGAGGTAGTGAACAAAGGGTCTTGACTCAAAGGTGCACAAACCAATCCGGGTCACACAAAATAGCTTATAGTCAGTGTTCATTCAGTTTTTATTGCGTATGTCTTTTTTGTTTTAATGTATGTAGTGGTGTTTGGATATACACCAAATAAAGTTTTTTTGTTTGACAAAATTCAAAAACTGGGTCTGTCCCGATCCTTTGTGAACCCTTAGATTGCCTCCCCTTTGAGGGCAGTCCACCCCCCTTTTTTCTTATATGCTGTTATCAGGTTACTGATACGGTAGACAGACCCCTCTAAAAAGGGTAATTGAAGGAGCAAGGATCTCCAGGAGTAAAACAATCCCGTTTTTTGTATCCTTTCCTACACTTGCCCTGATCATGAGGTTTCTGTGGAGTCTCCTCAGAGCCTCTATAGACAAACTGGCTCTTTATGTCTGGAAATTTAGAGGGGGAGGCTGAAACATCTAGGATGCTCCTCGGTGGTCATCAAGCCAGGTGTGATCCTCCTAGTGCAGTGAGGGCACATTCTACGGGGTTCATGGCACCAATGTGGGGAGTGCATGCCAGAGTGTCCCTGGAAATGATCTGTAAAGCTACTACCTTGTCTTCATGCCATGCCTTCCTAAAGCACGACCGGGTGGATCCGAGTATACTGAGAACAGTTGACTTTGGAAAGAAGGCTATTGAAGCTTCTGTTGCTGTTTCAAAATAAAATTGTATAGCACTTATCCCACCCTGTCAACTTATGTATCACAAGCATGCTGCCATGCAGACACTAAGAAATCTGAAAATTGCATCACACTAACTGTAATTTTCCTTTCCTGGTGCCTTTCGTGGCAGCATAGCTTTCCTCCCTCCTGTGTTTATACAAAGTAAAGTTATAAGAATATTGTAGAGTGTTTATGTGCTTTACCTTGTAGATTTACACTGGTCTTGTAGGTGGGTATAGAGGCAGAGCTCTATCATGAGTATTCTGCCAAGGATAGGCACCAGGAATGGAAAATTACGGTAAGTATGATATCATTTTTTTTTTTTTTATTGCAGGGGCCAACACTCCCACCTGCTGCCATCTTGCTTCCAATTAATGGTTTAGTTCTTGAGCGGTTAGCCAGCTTTGGCTTCTTCTCTATGGTGGGCTCTACACTAATGAGCTCTAGAAGACTGAGCACTAATAAAGTTTACAACAGAATTTGGGCAAGATGAATCCAGTTTGCAGCTGTCACCGACGACTCCTGCTCCAACTCTTAGCTCTACAACATACTGGACTTCTTGAAGTCCGGCTTGGACATTGGGCTGAATGTCAGCTCTCTGGGGCTTGTTCACACCAGCTTGCTCAGCAGCTGCTGTTGTGCGTGTGCCCGGGCAGTGCCAATGCTCTTAAATTGAGCTGCATCATACTTTTTTTTTTTGTTAGAACTTTAATGAATTCTCACAAGTGACATTTAATTAAGTGCGATGTGCAATGCCGTGGTGTGAACTGTGCCCACCCATGACCAGGCAATTTTCCTTCTTTTGCGTTCGGGCTGTGCATGGCCATTTTTTCCACCACTGCATATGGTGTGAATGGGCCTTTAAAGTGCAGCTCTCTGCAGTCTTGACCTTTTACTAACATCTTGTGGGTGAATTATCCCTTAGCTATCCAGTTCTTTACGGGTGCATTCACACCAAAATCGGAAGAAAATTGCAAGTCAACGGAGCGTCCTACTGATCTGTTACGATTTGTTCAACAGATGCTAATGGAAGGGCACTGAAAAATGAATGAGTGTGAATGGCTAGTTCCCTGGATCTATTACACTGAAAAAAAAGTAGTGCGTGTTCTACTTTTTTCCCAGCATAATGGAGTGGTGTGAACTAGCCCCATTCACACCCATTTATTTTCCGTTGCCCTTCCGTTAGCATCAGTTGAAAAATGTATTGCAATGCAATGGATCTGGTGTGAATGGGCCCTAAAGGGTGATGGGGGAATTTATTAAAACGAGAAGAATCTGGAGCAGTTGCCTATGGCAACTAATCAGCTTCTCTCTTCAGTTTGTTCTGTTAAGGTTTGAAAGTGAAAGGTGGATGCTGATTGGTTGCTATGCAGTTTTGATGAAGTCCCCTCAATGTGTCCTAGACCTTAGATTAAACCAAGATTCCTCAACTGGAATTTGCCACTTGTCCCGGACTTAATTACCAACTCGAGATTTGATCACTCTCAGTCCAATACGCTTAAGGACCTATCTGTCAAGGCAGCCTTTCTAACTGCTATAGCCTAAGGCCCTATTCACAACAAATACGTTTTTTCAATGGATGTCAACGGAAAGTAACCCAAAAAATGAATCACTCTGTTGCCACTGGCAATGCATCACCAGCTCCAGAATACATCAAGTTCCTAGTGCTGGACAACTTCATTGAGCGCAGTCTTGCTGCATAGTGAATTATGCTACCAGCTTAATGCTACAGACATGTACTTATATTAGCTGTCTAACATAGGGTTTGAACTGAAAAGATTCTTTAATGAAATGCTGTTTTCTACAGCCACCTGCAGTTTGATGTTTATGTTTTCACTATTCCTTGACTGTCTTAAAATGACACTTTGTCCTTTAAACCAAGTATTATTTTATGAAATAGCAGAAGGTATGTTAAAAATGCTTGCACATGGGTCATGCAGGGTCCACTCGGTCCGTCTGCAGCCTGGAAGAGGTTACCTGCAACCACATCCAGGTAAATAATACAGGCAGTTGGTTACGTCAAGGATTCGTGCACGCGTTTCCGTAGCCACGCCTCGATCCCCTTTCATGTTGACGAGCCCTTCGCCCGCCGCGCTCTCCGGCCCTACCTTGCCTGGCCGTCCCCCTCACATGAAGCGAAGTGTAGCAGAGCCGCCGTGCTGACGGAAGTGTGGACACATTGCGGCCGCAGAGGAGGTGGAGGAGGTTGGTGTCCTGCACGGGAGAGCCGCCGAAGACGTATGGCTCCTATGTTCACCGATATTCCACTGCTAGGCGCCGGGGCCTTTTGTTTACTCCTCCCTGCTGGTGTGTGCAGTGGGTGGAAATGTTAGGCCATGTCCCTCATCATCTCCTTGTTTGATCCCTCACAAGTGATGGGGCCTGGATCATGACAGGTCTTCACCCCCTAAAGTACGGCCTGTCGGTGTGTACCCTCACGGGCCTGAGCAGGGAGAGCGCATGGGACCGGACAGCTGGTTGTGCTTTGGTTACTGAGGAAAATGGCTGCCTGCTTACATCTACTTAGGGATAGGGCTTTGCTTTTCTTCAGGCCCTCTTATGTCAAACCTGTGTTTTGTTATCTGACTGGGTGGACGATTCTGCTACGATGCCATGATTGCCTGCTATATACCCACTTTGTGCATATGTGTGCTCATATAGTATGTAAGCTGAGTATACATGGGCAGCTGTGACTTGAATTCAAAGTCTTAATTACTGCAGGTTTTTTCAATTGCCTTGCTTTTCCCTTCTGCTTATGGCAGTCATGTTTATGTGTACTGACTGGGCCATTGCTAGGGCTCTCATAAATTAGGCCCTGCTAGCTGTGAAGTCCTGGCTTTCTTGGTTTCCCCTTGGTGTCAGTTCTTAGGCCTCCTCTTCCTTTTTCCTGTATGGAAGTCTATACTTTTTTGGAGGGGATGCCTTTTCTTTTGAATAGCACCCATCTGCAGGGGGATTGAGAAGTTTTGCATGCGGTTGGAGGTGATTGAGGCTCAGTTCTCCCACCCTCCCCTGTGTGCATGGCAGGCTGCTGCACATGTGCATTATGTTTTTTCCATTAGACAACGTCCTCCCTCCCAGATACATGCATGATCCTTTCCTGTAAGGTCTTGGTGTGCTCTCGGCTTATTTTGGAGGTGGAAGGGAGGGGAGAGAAACAGATATACAATCTCCTGACCTGGAGTGGCCCTAATGTCACATAAAGGCTTTATATGAAGTGGTGGTGAGAGCATGTGAGACTTTAACTTTGTGTGTGCCAAGATGGCATCTTTGAGCTTTATATCACTAATCTCAAATGAATAAGACCCATCTTCTTAGTGCCTGTATGTATTTCATGGTTTCTTATTTCAGTTGTATACTCATTTGCATTGGTGCATATGCCAGGTAGTATTGTATGGCTTCTCTGAGGCCTCTTAAGGTTTTTCTCTGTTACTGTGAAGTTTAGATTAACCAGGAGAGCTGGGGGCCTAAGAACAGAGGATGCAGCTTTTACTAATATACGGCAAAGGCCAACAAAATAAGGTCATGTTGTCTGTAATGGAGTAAAATGCAAGTGATGGTAACAAATCAGATTAAACAAAAGTAAAATGAGGTACAATATGAATTTTGGATGGGTTACTCAGGGCACTGCACTGCACTTTGGGGCTTTTGCTGTTTTAATATGTGTGTGTGTGTGTGTGTGTGTGTGTGTGTGTATATATGTGTGCATATGTAATTAAAACCTGTGAATGTTACACACTTAAGTACAAGAATTGAATGAACCAAATACTGTACAGTGCAATAAAATAAAACAATGTTAATCCATATTAGCCTCCTGACAAGTCGAAGGAGATGTGTACAAAGGGCGGAGTTTGTGGAACGTAGGTGGGCGGAGTTGGAGGAAAATGCGATGGGGGTGCTACCTGAACCTGCTGCAAATTGAATTTCTTCATATGTACCAGATCTACTGATTTTTTTTTTTTTTTTTTTTAGCTTTTTTTTAATTAGTATTTTTAATTTTATCACTATGCACATTGGTCTGTGCTTTTTCTTTGACCATCAAGCATGGATTATTGAGAGACTGAGGAACGGAAGATTACCATCAAAATTTGAGGGTGTTATCCCAAACCCGTTGTAAAGGGTATTGGTGAGATTAGACCGAACTAGGCCAAACTATAATGTGAGACACTCTGTAGAGGGCCCAATACTGGGGGAAGAAAAGAGTGTGGTGGAGGAAGTATAGCACAAAGCTTTTCTTGAATTATGAACACGTCTATGTGTGCTTTATATGGGTTCACAATTGGACATTATATGATATACCGTATTTTTCGCTCCATAAGACGGGCAAAAATGTCTGTGCGTCTTATGGCGCGAATATTCCCCCCAGGTCTTGACAATCTCCTGCGCCAGCAGCACTGCTGCCTTTAGCTGTCACACACCACACGCGTCCAGCGGCTCCCACGGTGTGTGTGTGTGCGCACGCGCTGAGGCGGCAGGGCTGACAGTGTACCAGTAATCATGAGCGATGGGAGGGTAGGGGCCGCTTGTACCTCTTCCATAATGCCGCTGCCTAACTTCTGTGTCTCACCGGCTTCTCACCTTCCTGTGTCACGCCACATGAAAGGGAGGAGTCTCGGTATACAGAAGTTAGACACAGGCAACACGGGCACCAGCATTGTAGAGGCGGTAAATAAAGTTGTTTCACTGCCTCTAAACATATTATTCTGCTATATGTTATTAAATATATTAGTACACCATTTGGTTCAGAATATTTTTTTTTCCTTGTTTTTCCCCCCCTCTAAACCTAGGTGCGTATTATGGTCAGGTGCGTCTTATGGAGCGAGAAATACGGCAGTTGTTTGTTGTGGCTGATATTCACGGAATATACAAAGAATTTTACAGCGCATCTAATTTATAGGGATTACCATATTTTTGATTGTACTGCATTTTCTTACAGTATTTGGTTCGTTCAATTATTGTACTTGGAGAGTAGTGCTGCACATTCCAAGGTTTTATTTTGAATTTATTATCACATATGGTGCCTGCTGCTTAGAAATATATTGGCGCAAGTTTTTTTTGTAGGTGCTTTATATGTGGAGAGATATAAATAGATATCTACACAGTGCATTCATGAAGTATTCAGACCCCCTGAAGTAGTTTGTTGAAGCACCTTTGGCAGCAGTTAGAGCCTTGAGTCTTTTTGGGTGTGACGTGACAAGCTTTGCACACCTGGATTGGGGGATTTTTTTTGCCATTCTTTGCAAATCCGCTAAAGTTAAGTCAGATTGAATGGGGACCGTCGGTGGACAGCCATTTTCAGGTCTCTCCAGAGATTTTCAAGTCAGGGCTCCGGCTGGGTCACTCTAGGATATTCACAGAGTTGTCGCTAAGCCACTCTTGTGTTGTCCTGTTGGAAAGTGATTCCAGGAGTGTGGAATTTTAAAGCAGGGGCCCAATCTACTTGTACTGATACAAAAAAAATATTTTAACCAAAACCATATTTACCAGTGTGAAGAAGCGCTTCTCATTGGTCAGCCCCGTCGGGTGATCACACTGACCGAGTGCTTGCAATTTGCGTGCGAAATTCAGAATACATGGCACAGGTACGGATAGTACACCCTTACTGGCGGACGGGAAGGACCATTCGGCGAAAGGTAAGTATAGCAGGGAGGGAGAGGGTGCCAGATTTGTGCGGGTAATTCCATTTCCCCAAATTGGGAAAGTGAATGTAACCCTTTAGAGCTAGTGCAGACTTGGGCGATCGTGTACGGTTGCATACAGCGGTTGCCGCGTGGCCCCATTGATTTCAATGGGGTTATATCTGCGTGGCAACATGTACCATTTGTCATGACCCACACCGCACAGTGTTTTCAAGCGCGATTGCACGGGAGGTGATGCGGCGGGAAACCATGCAGTCTGCCTGGCGTGACTGGGGTGCCATTAGAAAATAATTGCACTGCCAGCGTGATCAACGGTGGTGTGCAATTCTGTGACCGCCTGGCCACCCGCGCGGTTCTGTGAATGCTTGCCGTGCGGCCATGTATTGCCCAGGTGTGAACCTGGCCTTAATGGCCTTTATGCACATTGTGCACGTGAGAGAGCGTTGCTGCCTGGCCACCGCAATATGACACACAGAATGGGGGCACCACTTCGCTCACACACAATGCCCTATGCATGCGTTTATTTGCAAGCAGATGGTGGCGGCAGCTGGGTTTTTGTTTTTTTTTTAATTTTTTGTAAAATTTTTAATTATTTACACTTATTTTATTTTTTACTTCTAACTTTTTTTCACTTAAGTGTATTGCTATCACACGGGGCTAACAAGCCCCTACTTGAAGGTGACAGGTTCTCTTTATTGAACCTGTCACCTCCAATACAGGAGTTCTAGCACAGCACTGTGCTGGAACTCCTGTGACGGGAACGCTGAGAGTGCAGTGTTCCTGCAGGGACGAACGTTCTCCGCTCTGCTCCCCACCCTGATCTAATTTGCTGTGGTCCCGGGTCCCCCAGAGGAGCAGGAGTCCAAGAACACCACGGTGGGGAGAGGCAGCGGAGGGCAGTGAGCGATGGTGGGCAGAGGGTGGTGACATGTGCCGGGGCAGCGGCTGGAGAGCTGGTATGAGGGGAGGGAGAATCGGGCTGCTTACAAGTGATCTTAAGCGGCTACACAGCCGCTCAAGATCACTTGTACAAAACGGCTCCCTTCTACATTTAGCCTTGCTGCCTGCCCGAAGCAGGGCTAGATGTAGAAAGAAACTACCCGCCTGGAACTGCATGTCCCGGTCGTCGGGCAATAGGAATTCCACACCCCTGGAGTCTTCGGCCCAGTCTGAGGTCCTGAGCACTGTGGAACAGCTTTTCATTGAGGACAACTCTGTACTTTGCTCCATTCAGGTTTCCCTCAACCCTGACCAGTCCCTGCTGAACAACCCCACCGCATGATGCTGCCATTACCATGCTTCACTGACTGTTAGGATGGTATTGGCCAGGTGATGACTGGTTCCTGGTTTCCTCCAGACATAATGTTTAAAATTGAGGCCAAACAGTTCAATCTTGGCTTCATCAGACCAGAGAATCTTGTTCCCCGCAGTCTGAGAGCCCTTTTAGGTGCTTTCACGTGTTTTGCACTGAGGAGAGGTTCTGTCTAGCCACTCTGCCATAAAGGCCAGATCAGTGGAGGGCTGCAGTGATGGTTGTCCTTCTGGAACTTTGTCCCATCTCCACACAGGATCTCTGGAACTCAGTCAGAGTGACCATTAGGATCTTGGTCACCTCTCTTGCTAAGGCCCTTCTTCGATTGCTCAGTTTGGCCGGCCAACCAGCTCTTGGAAGAGTCCTAGTTGTGCCAAACGTCTTCCATTTGAGAATTATGGAGGCCACTGCACTCTTGGGAACCTTCAGTGCAGCAGAAATTTTGTTTGTAGCCTTCCCCAGATTTGTGCCTTGCAATAATCCTGTCTCTGAGCTCTGCAGGCAGTTCATCTAACCTCATGGCTTTTACTCTGATAGCGTATGCATTGTCAGCTGTGAGGCCTTCTATAGAGAGGTGTGTGCCTTTCCAAATCATGTCCAATCAATGTAATTTACCACAGGAGTACTCCAAGGTGTAGAAACATCTCAGCAACGATCAAGAGAAATGTGAGGCACCCAGGTTCAAGTGTTGTTGCAAAGGGTCTGAATACTTATGTACATGTGATATTTCAGTTTTTCCTTTTAATAGAATTTCTAAAATTCTGTTTCCACTTTGTCATTATGGGGTACTGAGTGTAGGTTGAGGGGGGAATAAAAGATATCAAACAACTGTAGTATCAGGCTGCAACATAACATTGAAAAAGGTGAAGGGGGTCTGAATACTTCCTGAATGCACTGTATGTCACATTTGTGTGCCCTTTTACATTCTATTGCTGAGCTGCTAACCTAATTTGCTTTCTGCACATGTAGTGCAACTTCTGCTGTAACAACCTGCCTTTTGCCAAATGTCTGTTTAGCATTAGTGGTTGAGTAATGGTTTTTGTAAATATTTCGTAATTTCTTTGGTTATCTGTTTGAAGATGCTAAATGGTAAATTATTGCAGCAATGTGCTTGCTAAAGAAGAACTATGAGGTGAGTGCTTTTCACTCACCTCATAGTTAGGCCCCACTCCGCGCTGCTTCGCGTGCAGTGTATCACGGCCTTTATACCGCGAACTGTAGCTCGTGGTATACTGAGCTTAGGGTAACGGGAGGACGCTAGTTTGTGTCCTCCCGTTACCCTAAGGAGAACTATGCGAAAAGCCCAGACCCCATAGTTCTCCTTTAATGTAACGGTTAGGATTGGAAGGTTTTGTACACCATTTTGTGTGAGCTCTAGTTTGATACTAACACTATTTTCAAATCTTTGTTTTTACAGAGCATTCATCTCGAGTGGCGTTGCTTACTGGATCCTGTTCATTTGATTTCATCTGGTATCATGGCAAAAGATGTAAGTTATAAAAGTGTTGGCATGATTCTTTTATCCTTCAGTGATGGAGTTGTCTAATGAGCTGAAGTTTTACTTTATAGAAATATGGCTATTGTAAAAGTTGCCTTCTACGTTTCATAGTTCTCGAGGTACTATGATTGGCTTGTAGATTTGAAAATGGAACACTTGAGTGTTGTTTTCTGTGAAAGTTAGGACTGTAAAGCTGGACTCAAAGTACATAGTAAAGATTAACAGGAGCTAGCTTGAAGGCTGTTGAAGTGGTTCATGAAATGTTTCTAAATCTATTTTTAATTGTTAAAAATGTGTTTTGCGTGGTTCCATGCAAAATCCAAGGGATGTGCATTGGCTACCATGTGACTGCTTTCAAACTACAACCTGTTGTGCCATATCAAGGGACAAGCGACAGGTGGCAAAGAGGCTGTTAATATTTATTAGCAGGTCTTTCTTCGTATAATGCCATCTGTAATAGTTGACTTTTATGTACTGAAAACAGGCAAATCTCTACACTGGCCTGTCAAAATTCAAAGCTGCTTACCCAGCAAACACTGCCATTCACACCAGCAAAGTTGTGTAGTGTTTCCAATGCATTTGCATTGCTGTTTGTGTTCAATATAACCATGGTAGACAAATTCAAACATTTCAATCTTGGGGTTTCATAGCAGCATATTAAATGCCTATTTATTCAGTTGATGATAAAAGTAAAGCTGGCCCACATGGTGTAGTTCTATTGTTTAATATTCTTTAGCTCCTATAAAGGCTGACTGGTTCTTCACTTTCAACTAACTTTTAATCCTAAAACTGATCAAATGAATCAAAGTGGCCTACTGTCAACAGTTTTTGTACTGAAATCATCAAATCAGTTAGTGGTAGGTTGCGTTCACCAAATGCAGATTGTTTCATGCTTTTAAATGTTGGCGTTTTGCGGTTCTGTTGAACCTGTTTTGTTTGTATAGTTGAATGGCTGGCGTTTGGCTATATGGGTATGTTCTAGAAATTGGAAGAGCTTTCAATCCGATGATATAATCTTATTTTAGATCTACCGACAATCGACAATGTAGTTTGACTATTTTGGATATAAATTGAACGGTTTAGATTGGCAATTGCACTGCATAGTTTATAGTTCAGGTTATGGTGATTGAGCAGTCAGTATGTAATGTCTGCCCCCCTTTGTGCTATAAAGCAATGATACAGAACTTTGTAGAGCTTTCAATATCTTATGCCATCCACATTTAGAAAAAAGATATTATATCATCTTACATTTATAAATAGCTTTGTAGTGTAAGTGGCCGTCTGATTGCATTAGAGTGGACTGTTTACTTAGGCCTTCACACTGCACAGTTTTTAGTTAATAGAATTTATGCATTTGCATTTATTGCATATGGTCACTTTTAGGCTGTAAAAGAAGGAAACACGACTACATGCTTGTATCTCATACAAGCATGTATCTAAACAATCCAATCATTAATGTCCTTGCGCAACCTATTAGTAGAGCAAAGGGACATTGTATTATTGTCTTTTAGCTATGCTATAGGAAATGTTCTTAATCACTTTAGCTGGGCACGTAAAGCTGGCCATACTCTTAGGGCCCTATCACACCATGTCCGGACCAGATCTGCACGCGTTTTTGCCATCACGGTGCGTTTGGGACGCGGCCCAGTGCAGGTCATTTTTTTTTTAGAGGGTAATGTCATTATGCAAATCTCTTCCTGCTCCATGTCATAGCTTGTGTTGCGTTCCAGTGCGGTGCGTTTGTGAAAAAATCAGCTGCGTTCCAGTAGAGGAAAAATGTGACATGCAGCATTTTTTTTCCTGCACTGTAACGGACTGGACTGGTGTGAACAGAGCCCCAAAATTACAAAGGAATGCATTGGGGTGCATTTTTGATGCGGAAGAAAAATGTAGCGTACCGCATCTGATCTGGACATGGTGTGAATGGGCCCTCATAGTTTTTACTTTGTTTAGCCCCTGGGCAGAGCAAGTAAAAACACTCTTGATTCCCCCACGAATCGCTTCATCCCGTGTATGGCCAGCTTAAGGCTCCATTCACACGAAACGCTACAACACACAACAGGAGGAATCCCATTGTTTTTACTGGCACCTAGTCACACAAGCATTGTGTAGAAAAATGCCTGTAGCTTGAAAAAGTACCTGACCTTCTTTTAGAGCCAAGTGTTTTGACTCCAATAGACTTCAATGGAAGCACATGAAAAATGTTGGTATGTGGTTTTCAAGTGTTACTTTGCCTTGTAATTATCTTTGCAATACTCTGCAGCCTAAGGGTGTTTTTACAGCGCGTTCCTACACGCTGTAAAACGCTCAACATGTCAAAACCAATAATTGCCTATGGGCATGGTTCCCACCTGGGCGTTTTACAGCGCTGAAAAACGCCCAAAGAAGTACAGGAGCTTCTTTGGGGCGTATTTGCCGCGCGGTAAAAACGTGCGCAACACGCGCATATTCCGTACGCCCAGGTGTGCACTTAGCCTAAACACCTGTACAAAATCTCCAAATAAACCTCGGAAAGCACAAAGACACAAGTGTAAATTGGGCCTTAGGCCGCATTCACACCTAGGCATCAGCATTTTCACACTTTAGTGCATGCTTTCATTAAGCGCGTTTTTGCACGTTAGATGTGTTCACATGAATACGTGCATTTTAGCTGGCAAATTGAGGCATTGCAGTCAATGGACAAATGCAGGCAAAATGATTGTGCCACGCGTTTCCTTTAAAGTCTGTGGGGACATACGCTGTAATCTGCCTAAAAGATCATGTACTTTTTCCAGCGTTCGGCGTTTTACATCTTGCAACAGAACCCTCAGGTGTGAACAGCGGCCTTTGAAATGAATGGGATTGAACAGCTGTGTAATGTGAGGGAGTTGTTGATCAATGGAGAATGGTCAATCATATTGTGTACATGTGTGGTGATTTTTTAGGTTCTATTTAAATCATACAGTACATGAGGGGTGTTCAGATTAATATGGGATTCAGGAGCCAGTCTATCCAGGCCAAGAACCAGTAGGATTTCTTTCAGGAGCCAGCTCCATTGAAAACAACTACAGAAAACCTCAAAAAGTTGGGTGCAAGCTGTAAATTTTATGGATCGTTGGCAACGTATCTTTTGGGATTTGTTCAGCCCTGCAGTATATTGGTCTTTCCTTAACCCATTCACAACCCATGATGGGATAATCCCGTCATGAAGCTTAAAGGGGTTAAACAAAAGCAGCCAGGAGTCTGTTCAGTTTTGTAGGGCCGGCTTTGCAGTAGAAGTGATTCTGGCGGCTCAGCTGCCGCCAGATCGCTTCTACAATCCGATAACCGGATCCTTGTTAGCCCCCTATGTGATAGCAATTAAAGTACCCTTCCCGGTGATGGTGGAAAGGAGCCGCTGTACTGGCCTTATGGCTTGTGTAGCTGGAGTCTGAGTACCCTTCCTGGTGATGGGGGCAAGGAGCATTTTTAGCCTGGTCACCAATATAAAAGTAATTTTTGCAACTGTTTGCTAATGTAAGTGTATTATTCACCACTCACTGCATATTGTGTAGCAAAAAACAAACACGCCTGTGGGAGGCTCTGACTACACAGCTACAGTTGTTTTTTGCTGCACAATATTCAGTTCTTTAGATGCAATACAGCATTCACTGGCAACAAATACTTTGATGTTCACAGCCTAAAAATAATTCAATGTGCTGTGAAAAAACAATGCCCCTCGCACTCGTCAGTAAGTTATATGCCCCTTTAGTGAGTGAGAATACTGGTGTCAGTGGGTGCCATTTGACAAGAATGTTGATGGGAATTTGGTACCCCACTAGCACCAGGGTCAAGTACATAGTATTAAGAGTCAGTAAGAATACTATGCCTTAGTTCCATGACATGGTGCAGATTTGCTCTCCTATCCAAGTGTCACGCTGGACTTGATATCAGACACTGTCAGGTGGATGATCCACTACCAGATAATGCTTACAAATCAATCATCCTGAATTAAGGAAAAGCATGGTGTAGGTGCTGTGGCATTTCTGGGGAAGTATTGTGCTGCCTTTGCATGTAATGCTGGGCACACACACCTTACAACCATCGCAAGACTTTTGTCTTGCGATGGTTGTAAGGTAATTAAAAAAACGTACGATCTGCCTATCTTGGACAGGCAGATCGTACTTGCGATGATCGCAAGCCCGCCCCACTGAAGGGCGAGCTTCCGATGACCGCAATGCTGAACGGGCAGTGTGCGCTTGCGCACACCGGCCTGTGCGGCTTTTATCTTGCGAACATGCTACAAACCAGCCGAACATCGTACGATGTTCGGCTAGTTTTCGAACATGTTCCTAAGATAAGAGTCGTGCGACCTTACAGTAGCAGAGGTCGCACGGCTCCCACACAAGTTACGATAATCGTACGATCGCGGCATTTCCCATGATTATCGTAAGCTGTGTGGGCACCTTAACTCTACTGTCCCTGCCATCCACATCCCTCCCCCCGGCCATATTGGCCTCTGCTTCATCTGCTCTGTTGCCTCCAGTGGCAGAAACCCTGGAGCCCTCTTGTGGATCCTTGGGGTTCTGTGAAACCCTGCAATTAATGGAAGCATTTACAATCTTCGATTACACTTGAGCAATAAAAGTGCCGGAGAGCTTTTAATCTCTTCTGCTGGCTTGTACACTTCAATATCACTACCAAGAGCTATGCAGTGTGATGAACAATCTGTTTTAAAAATGTTTGTCTCTGGATGCATCTATCCTGCATGCAGCAACAGTGATCTTTTTGAAACTGCATGTAATTGTATCAGATACGATTTACATGCAGACTGACGCTTACAAATGTGGTTGCTGTCACCCGGTCATTAACATGAATAGGTGCAGAGGCTGCATCTAAATTGGACATGAGCAATCCCAAAGTGCCCCATGTGAATGAGGCCTAAAATTAACAAATGCTTGAGCTCCACACACATTACAATCTGGTTTAACAATTTGTGTGCAATCTTTTTTAGATTTACCAAAGCAATGTAA